ACCAGAAGGAAAATAAATTATCAACATTTTCTCACCAAGACATTCATGTGAAAAGGCCATTAAGAGATAGATACAATTATTCTTACTATTAAAGTGAAGAAAATCTTCAAATAACTGTAATGTTTTTTTTTAATAGTGGAGTATTATGTCCGTCAATCCTGGCTCTCATGGTTAGCTTGCTGGGTTTAAAATGAGTGGTAAGTGTGTACCAGAAGCGAGTTAAGGGGTCTTTCTAACTTAAAAACCTGAAATGCCTCCAGGAAGACAGTAAGAGCCTTCACTCCCTTTTATCAGCCAACTTCCAGGAAATAAGTTAATGATACTGGGGAAGGTGAAGGAAAGGTGGAAGGGGGAAGAAGATGTGGAAGATGAAGAGGAATAAGAGGTGAAGGGGATTTACTGTAGATGTGGAAGTATAAGATGAATAAAAAAGTGAAAGCGGAAGACAACAAGAAGTAAATACTTGGAGGAGGCTTTAGAATTAGTGGAATGAGGAAGCTGAAGGAAAAGACAGAAGATTAAGACATTTGGTCCTGGCCTTAATGGTGAAGCTTCCAGACTAAACATACATCATATCCCAGATGAGGTGCATACAGCATATCATTAAAGGAGCTGATGAAAACTAATAGTGTAAAAACACCAGGTTTTCCAGTAAAAGAGAAATATTTAAGCAAAAATAAAAGAGCAAATTTGTCTTGTATCTGTTTCCTCTCTAGGCCAAAGTTGGCACATGACTGCACGACATGAACACTTTGTGCAGCCCTGTAGTAGACAAAATGCAAGAGAGAATAATAACTGAAATAATAACATATTGGTTCCTTGTCAAAGTATGCAACATTTGGTAGAGCATTATGGAAAAACTCGTAAAACTCACTTCCATCAAGGTTATGGCAAAGTATGCTAGAAGAAATATAGCCAATCTCTCGTTAAAAAAAATCACAAAAGTTTTTCTGTCTCATAGAGCATTTAAAAAGCCCTGAAACAATCCATGAAGACCCTGTCACAATCCCTGTAGAAGTCCTGTAGATTTGGAACGTTTTGTGTTTTTAACTCGGAAAAGGGCAGACTCATTTAAAAGTGATTCAGCAGAAGCTGCCAAACCACTACGGGTGTCTGAAACCGATACTTTGTCTTTGGTGGGGTGCATTGAGGGTCCGCATTCTCTAAGGTTTTGCTTTGAAAGATCGAGAATAAAGAGGTCCAACTGAGCATGTTCTGGTGACAGTCACACAGAAGACAGTAACTGTCAGCTTTCTTGACATGAACGATGGCAATTATGTTGACAGGTTGTGCTAGCCTTAGAACTATTGACTTGACCAGGAACTGACAGGTGTCTACATGAAACAAAATAGATGTCAGGTCAAACAAACCAGAAGGAAAATAAATTATCAACATTTTCTCACCAAGACATTCATGTGAAAAGGCCATTAAGAGATAGATACAATTATTCTTACTATTAAAGTGAAGAAAATCTTCAAATAACTGTAATGTTTTTTTTTAATAGTGGAGTATTATGTCCGTCAATCCTGGCTCTCATGGTTAGCTTGCTGGGTTTAAAATGAGTGGTAAGTGTGTACCAGAAGCGAGTTAAGGGGTCTTTCTAACTTAAAAACCTGAAATGCCTCCAGGAAGACAGTAAGAGCCTTCACTCCCTTTTATCAGCCAACTTCCAGGAAATAAGTTAATGATACTGGGGAAGGTGAAGGAAAGGTGGAAGGGGGAAGAAGATGTGGAAGATGAAGAGGAATAAGAGGTGAAGGGGATTTACTGTAGATGTGGAAGTATAAGATGAATAAAAAAGTGAAAGCGGAAGACAACAAGAAGTAAATACTTGGAGGAGGCTTTAGAATTAGTGGAATGAGGAAGCTGAAGGAAAAGACAGAAGATTAAGACATTTGGTCCTGGCCTTAATGGTGAAGCTTCCAGACTAAACATACATCATATCCCAGATGAGGTGCATACAGCATATCATTAAAGGAGCTGATGAAAACTAATAGTGTAAAAACACCAGGTTTTCCAGTAAAAGAGAAATATTTAAGCAAAAATAAAAGAGCAAATTTGTCTTGTATCTGTTTCCTCTCTAGGCCAAAGTTGGCACATGACTGCACGACATGAACACTTTGTGCAGCCCTGTAGTAGACAAAATGCAAGAGAGAATAATAACTGAAATAATAACATATTGGTTCCTTGTCAAAGTATGCAACATTTGGTAGAGCATTATGGAAAAACTCGTAAAACTCACTTCCATCAAGGTTATGGCAAAGTATGCTAGAAGAAATATATCCAATCTCTCGTTAAAAAAATCACAAAAGTTTTTCTGTCTCATAGAGCATTTAAAAAGCCCTGAAACAATCCATGAAGACACTGTCACAATCCCTGTAGAAGTCCTGTAGATTTGGAACGTTTTGTGTTTTTAACTCGGAAAAGGGCAGACTCATTTAAAAGTGATTCAGCAGAAGCTGCCAAACCACTACGGGTGTCTGAAACCGATACTTTGTCTTTGGTGGGGTGCATTGAGGGTCCGCATTCTCTAAGGTTTTGCTTTGAAAGATCGAGAAGGGAGAAGGCTCGCCTCAACGTCTCTACAGATGAGACACACAAAGAAATACGATCCAGAGCAGAGCAGCCAAGATCTTTGTACTTCTAAGCTGTCTGGCTCACCTCAGATAGAAGGGAACAGAAGATTCAGCAAAACAGTGTCTTAGTGAAGGGGATTTTGGAAACTGAGGCATCCAGTTGAACCACCAACACCAATTTATTCACATAGTAAGCAGGCTAAAGTGAGTTTTAGACTTGTGATTTATTGCATCAGAATGTTCTCCAAAAGGAAAAAAGACACAAAATGTTAACCTTTAAACTGAAACAAATGGTTCATATAAACCATGCTTCCAAGCTCTCTGGTTTATAATGAATTACACTTTTTATGTTACTTTGCTTGCCAATTTTTGCCAAACCCCAAAAAATAAATGAATCTTACTTAGAAACAAGGCCTGTGGTTCTGTCATGATTTTTGGACAAGGTACTACATTGGACACTGGACAAGTACCAAGTACCACATCTTTTTGGACATGTCATTATGGCAACTACCATTGATTTTTGCAACATGATATTCTTGGAAGTATTTTGGAGTATCATGGTAATACCATTTCAGATTCATGGCATATCTAAAACAAAACATGGTATATTACCTGATACCATTACTGTAGCAGTATACTTTTTTGTTAAGGCAATAACTAAACACTTGCCAGATTCTTCAGAAGGTGCAACAACTGATAAACTGCTGAGAATGTGTAAGATGTCATAAATTACTGAAGGTTTTGGTGGTAATAATTTCATCTGGAGATGTATCAAAAACCCCGGGGGAAACTTGTTTAAGCCAACAGTGGAATAAGCCAGCAATCTGTCATTCTTGTATGGTTATCTTGTGTATACACTTTGGATGATGTCTCCTGAATGTGCATCCATAAGCGCCATATGCTAGCATGATTTCCATCTCAACAAATAATCCTATGAGATTACCAACATGACACATGAGGTTAGGTCAGAGTTAGTAAATCTGGCAATAAAGCCCATGCTGCCACTGAGTCATGACTGACAAGCTTCATGGAATGGAAATGGAAGTCCTTGCGTTTCTTGGAAAGCACACATCAAGCCAAGTCAATGCTGAGCGCAATTTATGTGTTTGTGAACATGCACATGTATGCATGTGTGTGTGTTTGTGCTATGGTTAACAAATTACAAATTCTTTATTCACTAAGCAGCTTGTCTTTCCTGACCTTTCATGGCTTTCTCTAAAAGTTGTAGATCTGTATTAGTGATACACGTTTTCTTTACTATATTTTCCAGGGCACACATTTACACAGCTAACTGTCTGTATTTAATACCAATCTCTTTGTTTAATGGTGTTTACAAACCCATGTCCATTGATTAGTGGTTCACTCTAAAGTGCCTCACACAACAACGTGCCCTATTTAGAAGACTTGAGACGCACACATACACAGAAACTGGCAGTGATCGAGATTATTCTGACACTCACAAAGACACTGAAGAATTGTGTGACATGACCGATTCAGAAGCACAGGATGATAACTGGAAGAACTGGCCGTATCCCAGTTCTGTCGTTACTTACTTACCCGCATGTTGTTCTAAACTGATTTGCTTTTATTTCTACTTAAAATAATTTATTTTACTTCTACTTTAAAGAATGTTTATGTAGCTCTTTAATTTCAATAATGACCACGTCTTTCAAAAAAAAATTTCCAAGTGTGTTTCACTGACATAACTAACAACCAAACAGGTTTGGAATGACGGAGGAGTAAAACTAAGTATTACTAATTTTTGGATGAACTGCTCCTTAAATCAAAATAATTGATCTTATTATATACAGTATATACAGTGTGTGTGTGTGTGTGTATACATAATAAAAATATGCTAATAAAAAAGGTGTGAATTATTACAGTATTACAATTTAAAATACTCCAGTGTCCAGTATCACATGATTCTTCCCAAATCATTCTAAAAAATGCTTTCTATATATACGTGTGTGTGTGTGTGTATATATATATATATATATACACAATATTTTCTATAATCAATGTTGATTTTTAATATTGTTTAATATTTTTTAAAAAAAATGTTTAATGTTTATTTTTTTGTGTGTGTGTATATATATATATATACACAATATTTTCTATAATCAATGTTGATTTTTTATATTGTTTAATATTTTTTAAAAAAATGTTTAATGTTTATTTTTTTTGCTGAAAGTGATACTTTTTTTCAGGATTCTTTGATGAATAGAAAGATCAAAAGAACAGCATTTATTTTAAATAAATCTTTTGTAAAATATAAAAGTCTAAAAACAACATATAAAAATCTCACTTTTGATCAATTTAATACATCCTTGTTGAATAAAAGTAACAATTCCTTGAGAAAAAAACAAAACAAAACACTTTGTCCCCAAACTTTTGAAGTTTCAGTAAAGGCATTTCAGGACTCACCCAGCCAATACAATGAAGAAGTCTAGCCGATTCCAGGTGTCTCCAAGGTAACACTTTTTCCCAAAGATGCCCAGTGCAACCATCTTGATTACCATCTCCACAGCAAAAAAAGCAAAGATGAAATCATCAAAGTCCTGGGGGAAGAGAGAAATATCCGAAGGGTTAGCAGAATCTTAAAATGCTGCATTGGCCAAGTCAAGAGTTTGCAAAAATGTTCTTCTCTTGATCAGGAGATAAAACTTAACTCGCACTAAAGAAATAAACCCTCCAAAAGCATATGCTGATGAATATTAAATTTCCACTTTGATGTCACAGCATATTGTGAGTGTGTATGTGTGAGTGTGTGAGTGTGTGTATGTGTGAGTGTTACTGGTGACCTATTCAGACCTTCTTTCATTTCATTTCAACAATAGATGGTACATTTCCGGACCTTATGAACTAAATTGCTTTATTAAACATGCATTCTCCTAAGGCAGACGCAAAAGGCACAGTCAGTTCCTAAGTAAAGACCACAGACTGGGTCCTTGAGACATCGGCGTCCATATTAACTCAAAGACAGCCGTTTCCTCAAGGTTGACTGTCACTGAAAGACACCTGGGCATTCTCAGCCAGCGAGGACATTAGTCAAAGCTCTTAAGTGAGGAATTCCCTCCAGCCAAAGCACTTGCACTCTGACAATGCAGGGAATGTTAATTAAGCCGCAGTGGAGAGTATTTACTGTCGCGTTGGACATTATTCAGAGCCAAGCGCTAATGTATTACCTCATCCCTGATCGGCTTGTATTGTACAAAGTGGACATTTGGGTTATAGAGCACTACAGTTCTTGCCAATTCAAAGTTAATGGTAACACACAACACATCCATAAACAATGCTGTCAGGATGAGGACGAGGGGAGAACCTGCGAGCTTTCATTTTGCATTAATGGTTTGGGGAAGAGACTGTCTGTTCAGACAGAGATAGATCTCCTAAGACCATGCCCTAATGTTCTTTAATTATCTGCCTTAATGTGAACATATGGTGAACACATAAAAACAAAATAATAATAATTTCGCTATAAATAACACAAAAATCTCACTTTGACAAAAGGTTCTGCCCTGTACATTAATACTGTTCAACATATGGATGTTTTCTGCTCGCCAAGTCACTATTTTTGGCAGCATAATTTTTTTTAAATATATTTATGTAATAATTCATATTTTAATCATTTGTATTATAATAATAATTAAATAGCAATACAAACATTGACAGCCAATCAGAATCCATTCTTTAATCCATTCCCATAAGGAAAACTTGAAATCGCATCATATGACCCCTTTAAAGAGCATGTAAAGTTTAAAAGTTTAAAAAATATATATATTTATGTAATAATTAATATTTTAATCATTTGTATTATAATAATTCAATATATTGAAAGTACATTGTTTAAATAATTTGTATATGTATTTAAATGTTTTTATTTTATGTATATAAATGTTTTCTTAACTAATTGAAAGGCTTTTAATTTACAGTAATATATATAAAAAAAGTGTGTATGAATTTCTAAAATACATTTTTAAATAATTTAATACTTAATTGGTGCATTTATGGACTTGCCCACTGCTCCGGGTGTGTGTTCACGGTGTGTGTGTGTGTTCACTGCTGTGTGTGTGCACTTTGGATGAGATAAATGCAGAGCACTAATTCCGATTATGGGTCACCATACTTGGCCACATGTCACTTCTTTGAGAATATGGAACTCCACACCACAGTGATAACAAAACAGAGGAGCGATATCATTGGAATCACTTTCAGAACAAATTTTTATAGCTAAAGAGCAATACAAACATTGACAGCCAATCAGAATCCATTCGACTTTAAAAAGCATTTAAAGTTTAAGACAACATAACTGCAGCATACACTTATAATAAAAAGAACATTATTGTGCATTGGTGAGGGTGCTAATGTAGTTATTGCTATAGTTATCTTTATAGCTATCATTCTTGGTGTGAACAGGCCTTAATTTACACTGCACCAACAGACACGAGCAATGGCAACAGAAGCGTTTGTTGGATTTTGTCGGATCAGTGTGTTACAGGTCTGCAACTGTTGCATTTGGATGGCAATCGAGTCGATTGAGTATGTTCACACAACATTAGTTAGGATGTTGAATGTCTGAGAAGTGGCGTACTGTAATCTAGTGATTACCGATGTTGGTTGGCATTTATCAGCGCCGTGAGACTTCTACGTGCTACGTTCACACTGCAGGCAAATGTGGCCCAATTCTGAGATTTTTGCTCACATGTGACTGTGATCTGCTTTTGTCATGACAGTGTGAACAGCACAAACCGCATGGAATCTGATCTTTTCAATTCTGATTTGTGCCACTTCCATATGTGGTACTAAATCCGATCCATGTCAGATGTTTTGCAATGCGACCACAGTGTGAACGGTCATGTCAGATTTCATGCGGCTTTTACGTCACTCTAGATCGACATTCGTCATAATTCCGCGCTGACGGAAGACACTTCAAAGATTTTACATTCCCAAAGTTATCAAGACAGCAGCGAAAGGTAATCAGTGGAAGTGTGATGTGTCAGAACTCATGTGTATTACAGTGACAACTCTACAAGCAAAACATGAGGGCTCGTATCATAAAAGTTTCAAAACTCTGCTTTCTTTCGTCACATCCTTGTCATTATTTTTTCATATTACCTGTGCATAATTTCGCTATCACACTATCTAATCACACTACAAATAAACGCATAATCGCTTACTTTATGTGTTTACTTCCGTATGACGGTGCGCTGCGCAAGTGTTGCCAAATCCACAGTTTCCCCGTGGAATTAGGCTACTCTACCTCTGTTGCCGTGGGATGTTTTTCAACTTCGTGGGTTAACGCGACCCCACTAACGCGATGTTTACCTCCCTGAACATGATTGGGCTAGTTTTGGACTAGTTTTGAGAAAGAATTGGGCGGATTTTGTTGTGAAAATCTGGAAACCCTGTTCGTATTGTTCTTTTGTGCATGCGGGTCTGTTCAGAACCATGATCTGTTCACACTGGAAATCTGATATTGGCCACATTTAAAACAACAATGTGAACAGCTATACAAAAAAATCGGATCTGAGAAAAAAAACGGAATTGAGCACTAAGGCTCGCAGTGTGAACTTAGCCTTAGTTTACACAACAATGTACAAAAAAAATGAAATGTTTTTCTGTTGCATTATTGAAAAGACTTGCATAAAGACGACAAAACAATCCCTATTCACATGGATAACATTGCTTTTTGTATTTTATACAGAAACAATAGCTGTACCATATTCAAAAACTTGCACTTTGAATCAGTTTTTAAAAGTTGTCTTTTTCATGTAAATGAACAGCCAAACAGCCAAAATGCATTAAAAAGTTTTCGTTTTTTAGTTGAAATCTGTGTAGTGTACTTTACCCCTTAGGTTATACAAAGATATCATAACGCTTCACAATACTTTGGAAACAGCTCATGGGTTGAACAGATCAGTTTTATGGTGATTTTTATCCTTCCTGGAGCTCAATAGCCCCTGCTCACCATTTAGTTGTAAGGGTATGAGGGTATGCGATGACAGACCTTCTATGATTTCTAGAGATTTTGTGCATACAGATACAAAGCTACAAAGAAACTACACACTAAAGTTTTCTTCTTTTTTGCACTCATTGCATCATCCCCTTGTAAGCAATAAACCACAAGTGTTATTATTTGAATTACTCCAAGGCAAATGGGTTTCCCCAGCAAAACAGCAGACAAAAAAGAACAACATATGCTCACTTCACCTGAAGAGAATGCTAAGAAAACCAAGCCAGAACAGATCATATTGTACTGTACAAGAGTTATGTAGTTCAAGCCATGCATAAGATTCTCATAATCCACACAAACACACTTACAGGGAGCAATAAAAAGGGAGAGAAAAATAAAGATACGACAAAAGAATAATAGCCAATCGGTACTGTTAAACTCACAGTGAGCTCTCCTCATAAGCATGATACTACTCACTCTGCCCCAGAAACCACTTATCTACACCCTTCGACTCAACTAAAGCTTGCATAATAACACACATGCACATCCTAATGCTGGAATTTGGTACTTAAAGGATTAGTTCACCTACAAATGACAAATTTGGCATCATTTACTCACACTCATGTCGTATGACTTTTTCTTTTGTAAAAACTTGAAAGATGTTTTAAAGACATGCAATGAAAGCCGATGGGGACCAAAGCAGCAAATTCACTAAACTGACTATTATTGTATGAAAACTCCCAGACATTTTTCAAAATATATTCTTTTGTGTTTCAAAGAAGAAAGTCATGTATTTAGAATGATAAGTAGTGACAGAAAATAAAACATTTCCATAAGAAATGATGAATGCCTGCAGAGGGGGAAAAAAAGAGGAAAGCACTGAAGAAATAAATGATAATGTGTTGTGTGGGCAGAAGAGAAGGGGCACAGAGAGAAAGAGAGAGATGGCAGGCATGCTCCACAGCTTTATTGTATTTCCCTGAATTCCATTATTCCACCAAAGGCATTCTTTTGGCGCTCATGCCAAGGGCTAACCTGAGTCACGTCAGCTATGGAGTCCAGGTGTGTCTCCCTGACAGTGATGGGAGCTGATTGTATGTCTTTATAAATTTCTTGATGACCAGGTTTGCAATCTTATTTCTGGCAAAGCACACTAATTTCCATATGGCAAGAGGGAGAGTGATTTGATAGAGCAGTTGGAGAAGATAATCTCTGTAAATTCTCAGATCTCAGAGATGAAACGTCCCAGGCCATTTATTTCAGATGAGAAGCAGGGAGGGGAATGCTCCAAAACTGGGTTTTAGCTGCGCTACGGGTTTCAATTACTATCATTAAAAAATACAAGTTTACAGAATAAAAATCAAACTAAGAAATTGATCTTCTCCCATTAAATTCAAATGAAAACATGGCATTATCAATGGAAAGAAAGCAATCTCACCCAGGCATGAAGGAGAGTAAAAGATGATGGTTCTAGGAAACTCACAGCAAGAAAGTGCCTCTAAAGCCCATTTCAGTTTTAACAATGTATATGTACCATGGTTTTTCCTATACACATTCCTTGAATAGATATAACTTTGCTGCATTACCATGATCAAACTTACAATCTTCATTCTATTCAAAACTATACTACATTACTAAAGTATATACAGTAAATGTACTTGTATTATTCTCATATTATTATATATAGTAGATGTAGTATATATGAATACAAAAGCTATATATTACTGTTCAAAAGTTATATGTTTCTAAGACTTATGTTTACAAAGGCTGAATTTATTTGATAAAAAATACAGTAAAAAAACTGAAATACTGTAAAATATTATCACAATTTAAAATAACTGTTTTCTGTTTCAATATACTTTTTAAAAAAATTGATTTTCATCATATGTGTGTGTGTGTGTGTGTGTGTTTTATACATATATTCTACTAAATAATAAGCATTATTCAATTATTCCTCTAGGTATTTTCTCAAGAGTATGTCAATATTGATTTCAAAATCAAGTCTGGAGGCAAGCCACTGCACAATTGTTGTATGATTTATGTGATAGTTTGCCTTTAAATAGAATATTTATAATCACATCTCACTCACACTCTGTACAGTGAACTTGACCCACTGTCACAATGTAAAGATCACAGATTAGTATCATTCATTACAGCAACCATTAGCTTAATAACTCAGAAATAAGCTGTGATTCACCTCATGTCACAATCAGTCACACTGTATTCTAAAGTGCCTGATTACAATGGCTGTGTGGATGAGTGGCTTTGAAGTTGTGTTTTAGGCACTTCATTTAATGTGGTTTAATCCTCTCTAGGGCCAGGCCATTTCAGGCTCATTTGTTTTTATATAGTCCTCCAAATGCTTATGACACCCCCATAGCATTAGAGGGATCACATAGAGAGGAATAGAGGTTGAAAGTGTTATATAACGTCTAAGAGCCACAAAAAAAAAAGTTTGGGAATTTATAATTTTCTTCACTTCATGACAGTATTTAAAGCATAGAATACATCTGACAAAACAAAAGTTTAAAAAAGATCTATCTATCTATCATCAGCAACAATCAATACGTGAACATTTATTAATAAGAAATTTAAAAAATATATTATTTAATATTATTTATATATTCAACTTATTAAAAAAATATTACATTTATTGAACATACACTGAACAAAATTATAAACGCAACACTTTTGTTTTGCCCCTATTTTTCAAGAGCTGGACTCAAAGATCTAAGACTTTTTCTATGTACACAAAAGGCCTATTTCTCTCAAATACTGTTCACAAATCTGTCTAAATCTGTGTTAGTGAGCACTTCTCCTTTGCCAAGATAATCCATCCACCTCACAGGTGTGGCATATCAAGATGCTGATTAGATAGCATGCTTATTGCACAGGTGTGCCTTAGGCTGGCTACAATAAAATCACATAGCGCAATGCCACAGATGTCGCACTCCAGTTCCTGCCAATATCCAGCAACTTCACACATCCATTGAAGAGGAGTGGACCAACATTCCACAGGCCACACTCAACAACCTGATTAACTCTATGCGAAGAAGATGTGTTGCACTGCGTGAGGCAAATGGTGGTCACACCAGATACCGACTGGTTTTCGGACCCCCCAATACAGTAAAACTGCACATTTTAGAGTGGCCTTTTATTGTGGCCAGCCTAAGGCACACCTGTGCAATAATCATGCTGTCTAATCAGCATCTTGATATGCCACACCTGTGAGGTGGATGGATTATCTCTGCAAAGGAGAAGTGCTCACTAACACAGATTTAAACAGATTTGTGAATAATATTTTGGGTTCATTTTACGCAAGCACTGGGTTGTTTTTTTAGAGTGTGTATATATATATTTATACAGTACATATCCTCTGCCAATGCCCCTAATTGTTATTTTTTTATAAAATAATATGTCCTCTATGGAGGACAAGAGTGAATTGTTGCTGGGTCCCAGAATGATAAAATACATCCACAACAGAAAAGAGAGGATAGCTCTCTGAAATCCTTAGGGCAAAACACTCATCAGCAAAAGGAATTTAGCAGATTGAAATCAAAGTCCCTGAGCCATGTTCCCTAGTCAATGATAAACCAGAGCAGTGTTTTTCCTGTGATAATCTGCTTTGAATTACAGGCGAGGATCTCTTTGTTGCCTATCACCACATGTGGTTTTGGGCATTCCAGTGTCTTTTGGAAGTCATTCAACACAACATGCTTCAGGATATCTAGAGAAACCCAGCGCTCGACGAGAGATGATGACAGACACCTCAAAATAACCCCCATTTTTGAGTTGTAAAAGTCGTTGGATTTAATTTTAACACAAAGTTCATTTCAAGTCTGTGTCCAGTTAAATTTTAATTTGTTTACCATCTGTTCTTTGATCTATTTATAGTGCATTGGGTTACAAAAGGTGGTGTATTCTAGGAATGAGACTTACCTCCAGTATCTTGCATCGCTCAGTCTCACAGTGGCTGTCCTCACAAGGCTGAAACATCCCCAGAGTAACGCAGTTCAGCAGGATTACCAACATGCTGGCCCTCTCGAACCATGTGGGAAGCAGAAGTTAAGGAATAGTACATAGAAAATACATGCAGTCACAGAAAAATAGCAAAAGTTTTGTTCAGAATTTAAATGAATGACATTATTGCAACCTATGCAGATACAAAACTACTTTGAAACAATTTTCACTCAGAAATTGACTGCAAATTTCAAAAATAATTATAAAGAAACGGCAAGGAACACACTGAGATAAACAAAGATAAACATATACTACATCCAAGCTATCAGCAGACATTTGTATCTCGTTGTTGCTAAAGTGAGTAATAAAGAGTTCAAAAAAGCAGAAGTAATGCAAATTTATTTATGTAACTGTGTCGTGTAAATGATGTCCTTCTATCCCACTGTTATAATCCATTTTGGAAAAGAAAGCAAGGAGAAATTGATATAAATTATCACATTATTGTTAGCGATCACATAATTTAGTTATTACAGCTTTAACAAATAACATGTCAAAGGCTAAAATCACTTTCTCTGTCATGAAAACGAGGTCAGTCCACCAAAACGTTTTACAGGGTCAACGGTGCTTTTGTCATTATGTTCGTCATAATTATTCTTGATTTACTTGTAGGGAATAAATGACCCAGAGTTCCTTCATCTTTTTAGCTCACCGCTAGTAATTGATCATGGGGTGGGAAAATGTGTGGATGGTCCCTCAGATGCCATGTACCGATTCAGGGGTCGAGCTTGCACATTTACATCTAAATTAAATACAAGAATGCTAATGTCTATACGGGGTGCCGTCTGAGCAAAGTGGTACCAGACAGAAACCAGCTCATTTTTCACAATTACTGCCAGCGGAGGGCCCAAGGGGACACAATTAAAGCTACCAAAACTAAATAAGAAGATGTACCATCAAACAGGAAAGTTTCCTGCCTGGAGAAACTCTGATTACGGTAAACAATAAAACTATATATTGTCCGATCACATCATAACTTAAGGAAATTACGCAACACTTTTAGACATTGAGTGAAAACTGTTCAGTGGATTTACAGTGGGATTCAGGCTTCTCATGTGATCACACTTTCACAATGGCATCATGAATTAACCGGCCTTAGTGCCGTGTACAGATATATGTGAAGTCATAAACCTCAATAATGTAACTCTCGGCACATTCTGTGTTCACTGATTTCTGGTGTGAAGCCTTAACACTGGCATTATGGTATTTTACAGTTCTTGACCATAATGAACGTCTCTAGTTGCATAAAGGGGCTTGGGTTATAATGTATTCTGCATGAATAATGTAAACAGACAGAATGTGTCTTCTTCCTCCAGAAAGGCAGAAGACTAATTACAAGCTGCTAACTTCTCTCAGGCTGCATTGATCTATATACACTGAACCAGGGGCACAGAGTCAGTGGAACTGATAGTCGTGAACTATGTAAGGAAAATCACTCAAAAACTGTGTGTTATATATATATATATAAATACATTTTTAAAAAGAATGACACAACATAGGTTTAAATTGTAAACTGCAATTACACTTCCTTTCAAAAGTTTGGGGGCTGTAAGATTTTTTTTTTATTGATTTATTTTATTTTATTAAAGAATATACTTTTATTTATGGATGCATTAAATTGATCAAAAGTGACAGTAAAGACATTTTTATATAATGTAAAAAAAATTTAAAATAAATATATTTAAAATAAATACTTAACTGCAAAAAAATGTATCATGTTTCTACAAAAACATTAAGCAGCACAACCATTTTCAAAAATTGATAATAAAAATAAATGCTTCTTGAGCAGCAATATTATAATTGTTTCTGAAGGACCATGTGACACTGAAGACAGAAATAAATTATTCCATTCCAGAAATAAATTATATTTCACAATATTACTCTTCTTACGCTATTTTTAATCAAGTAAATGAAGTCTTGGTGAACACAAGATATACTAATTAGTGACAGTGACGTGACATGTGGCCAAGTACGGTGGCCACATGTGGCCACAGGTGTCCCATAATTGGAATTAGTGCTCTGCATTTTAACCCATCCAAACTGCACACACACAGCAGTGAACACACACACAGTGAACACACACCCGGAGCAGTGGGCAGTCATTTATGAGAGCGCTGTACATTCACTCCCCCCACCTACAATCCCTACCGGTACGAGACTCGAACCCGCAACCTTTGGGTTACGAGTCCGACTCTCTAACCATTAGGCCATGCCTTCCCCTATTAGATATACTATAACTTATTATTTAAAAAATATTACAGAGCCCAAACTTTTGAACAGTAGTGTACTGAAGGTAACACTATAAAATAGTCAACTTAACCCATTAATCCCCAGTTTTGTTTTTTTTTATTCAACAAAATTATTTAAATTTTAAATTTAAATTATTTATATTATTCTTCATACTGCAGTATTGCACTTCTACTATCCAGTATTTTTGCATGTTTGATTTTGCATAATGTCTGACCACTGACAATGAATCTACTACACTTTGCTATAGTTTCAAATATTTTATTTCACTCCACAATCTTTCTTCTGGCATAATAAAATAATTTCAAATATATTACTGCGTGTTCATTTATTTACTTGGTAAACAGCGGCTCTGGTCATGCTGTCGGGGTTTATTCTGCAATAATGACGGGCTGGCTGCTTCTATCTCTATATAGAAACTCCCATAGAAAGTTTAGAAACCTATGCAAAGATTGAGATAATAACAAAGTTGCCAGGTGCATTTCAGAGAAAACAACCTACCCACCACATGACACATTATCCAGCAAGTTGTCAAAAGCTCTTCTTAAAGTTGTCTACTTATATGCCAGTTTTATAGCAACCAAAACAATATTCGCATATAGAAAATCAGTGGTAGAGCCTTTGGCAACTTATAAATGGCCGCAGGATTAAAAGGTTTAATGAATGTAGCAAGTCACAGACATTGAAAATGTTTCCCTTGCAAGCAAGCAGTAATAAAAGACGGAGTAGAGAGAGTCCCGTGGACAGTAATAACCAGACAAACCCCTATAAACAAGAAATGAGAACACTGGAACATGTGCTTATAAATTATTTCATAAAGTGTGGCTTTAATTTGGAAAAACAAAGCAGTGAACTCACACAACAGGCAGAATCAGAAGTGAGAAAGGAGCTTATAAATGCTGTGTGATCCTTAACGGGTATCTCTTCGCTTCTGAAATGTTTTCAGTTGGCCGTGGCACACATACAGATGCATACAGAAAATCCCTCCCTACATTTTCACCGCTCACCATGAGCAGACACGCGTTTTCTCTCACGTTGACCCCCCTTCACCATTGCTGGAGTGTAGGTGGGTTTCACTCACAGGCAACGGTGAGATCAAAACCTCATCAGCTCTTTATGTTGTGTTTATGTGGAGCCCAATTCCCACACGAGGCTCCCTTCATGCTCTGAAAAGCCTCATTTTCACTCTTCTGACAGGCTGGAAAAAAGTAACAAGGCATAAAAGTATGGTGTGTGTGTATGCTTGGTGAGCGATTCTGCAGCTTTTCCAGGCTGATTTTGCAGACTAATGCTAGCAAACACACCTGAAAGAGTGACAGAGGTGGGCTGAATAAGCAACATGCTCAGATTTGTCAAGCTCCAGGGCTTGAGTATAAACTTATCTTATGCTAAGTAATGAATAAATGAGGTGGCGTCCGGTATGCAGGATGCAGAACTATTGGAGCATTCTGTTGCAAGGACATGCAATGATAATAAACCCAGCTAAATAGTAAATCCAAATGCATTTTCTATAGAAATGCACTGAGTATCCATTTTAGTTCTGGTCTGATCAGACTAACAGTATATATAATGCACACAGTATTTTCATATGCGAGTTCTAGACCATCTGTTCATTCATTTCCAATCTTTCTAACTGTTCACATTTCTATCCTTCTAGTCTAAATGTGTGCATGCAGCCACTTGTTTAGTAGCCCTTTCTCCAGGGTCTCAGGAGCCCATATGGATGACTGCCATTCCTGGCTAATAGCCGTATTTCATCCGCCCTATGTTTAATTCAAGGCTCTTGGCATTAGCTATGTTTCATGCCAGGCTCTTACATTCTCCAGTGCCGCGCGTCCTAACATAGTTCCTTTGCTGGGACCCTTCAAGTCTGCTGGTTCCACTATGCTAAAATGTTCATCCTGCTCCAATTCAAGAACCATTCCATGCTATTATGTCACTGTACGCTCATTAGCAAAGGGCATTTGTAGAAGAAAATGAAAAAGTAAAAAAAAAAGGTAATGGTGTCTAAAAGGAAAGATTTATAAATACATGTATGAAACAAACAAATAAACAGAGATGCTAAATAAGAAAACAAGTTGGACAATTAAGTTTCACAGTAATCATATGGAAAAGGGGTCTAAGACTAAAATGCTTTAAAAGCATTTATTTAAAATAAAATAAAATAAATAAACACATGTGAAATACATAAAAATGCTCTTAAATAAAAAAATGAAATGGGAAAAAAATGTAAAGGAAACAGTGTCTAAAACTAAAATGCAAATAAATAGTGATCATCAGAAAACATTTGCATAAATAAATTTCATTTTAGGAAGTCACCATAATTTCTATGAAATTAAAAAGCTAATAATGATCAAATAAACTAATTATTAAATAAATACATGTATCAAATAAAAAAAAAATCTAAAATATATAATAATATACATCACATATGTGCAAGATGTTTCTGGTTGAAGCATCCATAAAGGCCTCAATACATAAAGCAATGCTATTAATTACGAACCAAAAAAATAATAAAATCCTGATAGACAGAATCGACCAAGATTCATCTAACTAGCATCTCCAGATCTATGTTGGCAGAGATGAATATGACACAGGATAGACTTCAGTCAATATTTCAGAGTCATGAAGCTCACATCTGACACATCCTCATTCCTCAAACAAGCCCATCTGTCAAACGTCTGCGATGTAAAAGACTAAAGCTGTGGGAAAAAAGGCAGAAATGTGATTCTAAGGACTTGGGAAAGAGTCTATGGGGAATGTGAATGTTTCTATGCCACAC